TTATATGTAAAGTGAAAGGCTTGGAACCTATAATTTCAGAGGTTCCTCCTGGTTCAGAAATCCTCTTAATCTATGAATCATATGCAAACAGGACTAGGAGTATTTAAACAGCTACTGGACGGAAAGAGCTAAGTTGCTTTTGGTTATACCCACAGAAGTAGATTTTTATTTTGGGGGGATGACGGGAGCTAGTGGTGGCCTTTACATTATAAAGAAAATGAGTACAGATGACAGCAAAGTTATTTGTTGAAGAAAAATGGGGAATCAAACATAGATGTGAATAAGGATTTGCATTTTTAAAATAGCCTTTTATTGCATCAGAGTTTTGCTATAACTCTTTTAGAGAAAAGACCCATGAAGAAGCTCTTAAAGACCTCATTTTGAAAATATTCTACTAGGTCAATGCATCTGTGAAATTTGGTTCATTCTTGGCAAGTGATTCCTGGGAAATCAATATAGTTTATCTCAAGCTGTGTGTCCCATTGGAAGTGAATATGAGAGAAGCCTTTCGGTCTCTGATTATATTTATGTATATTTTAATTCAAACACCTTTCTTCAGACCCCAGTTTCTTCACCCCTTCTTCTTTTCTACATTAAACACTGATGAATATTCACAAACACTTTTGGAGGAACAGAGCGATGGATTCAGCATTGTGCAGACACACTGTTAGAAGTCTGAGATGCACGTGGAGCCTGAAATTGAAGGAGAGCACAGGTTTGCTTATTGAAGGCTTCAGGAGCATTGGGGGAGATAACGTTTTCTTTCCTTGCTCTCCAGCCACGTGCTTGGGTTAGTACTGACCCAGACTCCACAATACTGCAGACCTGCAGAGGAGAGAATGGAGGCGCAATGTCATCTTTATGCAGGCACGTGTCTTCACCCATTTTATTCCCCCTCCACTTCACCTTCTCCTGTTCATCTGGCCAGTTGTAAACCTTTAATGTGAACGAGCTATCTATGACACCAATTTGTGGGCAAGTTTTGTGGCGAGAAAAAAGATCCAGGAAATAAAATCATCAAAATAGTTTCTATCAATAGTCGCAGATATTACCAGGCAATTCATACACTGCTTCCCATTCTCATTTTGGGCTTTATACTTAAAAGGGATTTTCCCATCTATTCTTATTCCATCTTTAAAATGACTCTATGGCTGGATATGGTGAAAATGACTCTTTATTTTGCAGACAGTGCAAATAGAGCTTAGTGTACCTGAAAGTATTATCTAGAGTCATCCAATCAAGAGAAGAAGCAAATCTAGGAAAAAGGAATCTCCCAACTCTAACCCTCAATATGCTTTCCACTAATGCAGCCCATCCCAAATCACAAAACAAAACAAACACGTTTTATTGTTCTCATTTACGCTAAATCATTCTTCCTTTGCTTTAAGAATCTGATACATATTTAAAATAATACAGATATTTGAATTTAGAACGGTTTTATCATCAAACCCTTAACCCGTTTATGACTGAGGTTGCAATTTTTTGAATTTTTGCAATCAGACCTTGGCAATAACCTTGAGCAGTAGGATATAGATAACTCTCACATGCTTAGTGTTCCAATAATGGAACATTAGGCAAAAATCAGCTTAAATTCCCATTTACTAGGCTAATTTCGTAAGAGACTTGCTGTCTCATCAATGTAGGCAAGGTTGCCAAAGTGGTTCATGTGAGATAGAGGTGACAGAGGAAAAGAATTATCTGCTCTGGGGAGCGGGGGGACTTTCTTCCTTTTAGATTTGAGATTTTCCCATTCTTACTACTTTTAGGGACAGGAGATCAAAAGTTCAGATATGTTTTCCAAAAGCCACTGTTCAAATGCATAGGGTCTATGAGGAAAGGACTATTGAAAAATCTTCCTTGGATCTTTCCATTAGCATAGATTGTTTTTTATGAATTTACTAATTTCCAAACTGGAACCACTGTCCCTAGAAACTGAGGCAGACATCTTTCAGAGGAGAAAACAGACCGTAGGGAATGGCAGTTATTGCCACAGGCTAATGGGCTCTGGAAGCTTAGTCCTCCTGGAGGTCAGCACCTTATAATGGAGAGGATTGCACAGGTCTGGAAGAACAAAACATATCACTTGCCTGAGAGTCTGTACTGACAGATTCCAATTTTACTGGTTTGGTGTGATCATAGTGAAAGTCTCCTAAATTTCCTCATCAGTTTATTTATTTGTTTACATCTCTGTATTTCTCAATGGCCTCTGAGCTCCTTGAGGTCTAGACTCTATTTTACCCAAACCTATCCTGATTGCCTCTCTGAGAATATGAACAAAATGAGACTTTATAAATATTGGTTGGACTGAATTACTTTGAAATGATTAAGTTACTTCTACTATTCCATGATCATTTTAACAATTTACGTATGAATGCAAAGATTACCAAAAACAAGGAGAAAAATAAATTCCAGAGTTGTTTGTTGAGCAATGTGTGATTGAGTTGACTTGAAACATATACAGGGGTACAGTCAATTCTGCTACAACATAATATATGCATTTGTAAAAATGACTTGCTAATTGTACAATACAAACTTTATAAGAAAAGATTTAGGGGAGAAGTAGGGTTAGGAGTACAATACTCAAAAATTTCATCAGTCACACATAAAAGACTATAAAAACCTAATAAAAGTAGTAGAAGAGTTGTATACATGCTAAATGTCTAATAAATACATAACCATTACATACAATAGCGATAATACTTTACCTTAAAAAGAGCTACAACTTTCCCGTGGAAGTGGGTGTCAGAAAAGCTGTGATTTCTTGTTAAGTGGTGGAGAGAGTGTTGCCTGAAACAGGAGGATGGTTATACCTACACATCTCGATGGGTGAGGCTTAGAAGGCTCCTGTGAATGTAGATACCGTCTTGATGCTTAAGGCCTATATGTGTGTTTGTGTGTGTGTGTGGTTTGTATGTTTCTATGGGGCTCGCTTTTTTTTCTGCGTTCATCTGAGGCTTCTTGATGACAAACCAGGCATACACATATGCAAGATCTGCATTATGTTGAATATAATTTAATAAGTATTATTATATATTGTTTTCTAATATATAAATAATGCAACAAATGTGTGCCTTTAAACAAGTGCTTTGAGGTGTATATGCACCTTCTGTCACCTGCATCTTCTGCCAGAGTTAAAATGGTACTGATCTGCTTTCTATTCGCCAAAAGACCGTAACTGCGGAGAAACCATATCTGCAATTTTTATGTTATTCTTCTTCAGTGAGGATCTGGCTCGGTTTTGTATTTGTCAAACACCTCAAAATATTTCTCAACATTTGTATTTAGGAAAAACTCAAAATACACTTTGCCAGTTGATTTTTTAACACACCTAGTGAACAATAATTTAATCCTTATGTTTCTAATTAATTTTTCTGCAATTAGCTAAAATACTGCTCTCTAAGAATTTGCTGAATAAACAAGCTTAATCCTATGTAAATGTTCTTTAAAAAAAAAACAAAGGAAATCAAACCAATTCTTCCTGAGAGCCTTTACTACCATGAAGTTTACTTTCAAACTAAATGGCACACTTTAAATTTGTTTTGCATGAGGTATGTCTAGATTTCATGATGTCGTTGTTCAATGTCCTATAAAATTAAATATGTACAAGACAAAAAATAGGAAAAGAATGTTGGTAATATTATGCTGATTAATTGGCTGGTTGATTGACTGCTCAATCCTGCCTTCCATTCTTTCCTTTCTTATTTCATTAGCTCACAATCCCATTCTTTCAACAAACCTTTATCAAAGGCTTATTATGTATCAGATTCTCTGCTAGGGTCCTACAAAGTGTGTACCACCCAATGGAAAATACAAAGAGATAGTGAATTATTACAAAAGACTTAGATGACCAATTGTCTTAGGCCATTTTGTATTGCTCTAACAGAATGCCTGAGACTGAGCAGTTTATAAGGGACAGAAATTTATTGGCTTACAGTTCTAAAGGCTGGGAAGTTGAATATCAAGGTTCTGGCATCTGGTGAGAGCTCTCTTGTTGCATCATCACATGGCAGAAGGCAAGAGAATGAGAGAGAGAACCCACTCCTGAAAGCTCTTTTATTAGGGCAGTAAACCTAACCCAGTGAGGGTGGAACCCTCATGGCCTAATCATCTCTGAAAGGCCCCACCTCTTAATATTGTTACAATGACATTAGACCTCATCACGAGTTTTGGGAATGACAAAAATTCCAACCATGGCAACAGTATACTAAGAGTGAAGAGCAGTTCCTCTCCATGAGATTGACTGGTCAGGACATCAGTGTCAACCCAGAGGGGTATATCTACCTTGTTAAGACAAGCATCTTTGCTCATGGCCCCATCCTCTCCCACATTTGGACATCATCAAATAATCCTTAGAAAGAATACTTTCAATATTTAGGATAGGTTGAAAGGATAGCTGTTGAAGTAAATATCAGATTCACAATATACAAGATCGAGGACTATTCACTACTGCTTCATGGAGTAGAAATAAGTTCTTAGAATAAGTAAATTGTTTTCTGAAGACTTTCATACAACTGGGAATTTTAAATTATCTTACTCCTCTAGACACAATTATTATGGGAGCTCTTAGGGACTGAAGATGGGAGAATAGTCAAACAATGTTTCCCCTTTTAGTCATCTCCCTTCTTATAGAATAATCTTGATAGCAGTAATTTAAGGCTTTGCCCCAGTGGCTTATTAAAGAAATGTAACTAGTTGGGTTTTTGAATCAGAAAAATCTGGGTGAGAATTCTTGCTGCACTATTTTCTAGCATTGAGACCTTGGACAATCTACTTGCCATTTTTTAACTTAATTTTCCCCATCTGTGAAAGAAACCCAGACCTGTCCTTCAGGGGTGCTGTGAGGAGTAGATGCAGTAACACATGGAAACAGGGAGTACCTGACCTTGTTCAGAGCAGATGGTTGATAAATGATGGTAGTTAATTTCTCAACTTCTCTTCTCATGGAATATTTCTTGCTAATAGAATCTGGTCTCTCTCCCTCTCTCCTCCTATCATTATAGATAACTGTGATGATCCACTAGCATCCCTGCTCTCTCCAATGGCTTTTTCCAGTTCCTCAGATCTCACTGGCACTCATAGCCCAGCTCAACTCAACTGGAGAGTTGGTAAGTAGGCTGACTGAAATCCTAATGCCAAGCACTGAATAACTACACGGTGGGTAGATGGAGGAAAGTGAGCCCTCTCAAACACTGAAATCATGTCCAATGGCAGTCCTCAGGAAAAGATTTAGGAGGAGAGGAATGAAAATCTAATGTAAGCATACTTCCGTAGCATAATAGTCATTCAAAGTATGCTGACTTGTGTTCACCCAAACCACAATATCCTTTTTTGATTATCACAAGAGGTCTTTATCAAAATTACTTTATAAAAAGCATTTGCTTTCAATCACTTTAATTTTCCTTGAAAATTAATATTGCTGATTTTTAAAATACAAAAATACTATTAATTAAAAGTAAGAAAAGATAAACAATCTGTTATTCTACCAGCTAGAAATAACTGTGGTTAAGTATATGGTTTGTATCTTTAAGATCTGTGGGAAGTAAGAGCAGGCCCTTAACTAATCTCTCATATGAAATGTTGTTAACAAATATGACGTTGGATATCTAGGCAGATATGTTTTAGTCAGATTTAGATGTTGACTTTTATAATGCATAGATGCATAGGTAGATAAATACTGAAAAAGATTTGAATTATTTCAATTTTTAAGCACTTTTTGGATATCTGATAATATTTTAATATCTACTGAATATTATAAACTTTTTCTAGGTCACGAAAAGCATGTATGCAATTTAAAGAGAGCTACTGAGTCTATCCTGGCTAACATGGTGAAACCCCGACTCTACTAAAAATACAAAAAACTAGCCGGGCGTGGTGGCGGGCGCCTGTAGTCTCAGCTACTTGGGAGGCTGAGGCGGGAGAATGGCGTGAACCCGGGAGGCGGAGCTTGCAGTGAGCCGAGATCACGCCACTGCACTCCAGCCTGGGAGACACAGCGAGACTCCATCTCAAAAAAAAAAAAAAAAAAAAAAAAAAAAAAAAAAAAAAAAAAAAATAAAGAGAGCTACTGATCTATTAGAGTTTATATTATTTAATTTTGACTATATTTTCCGTTGATATCTTAAGTAGGTTACTTTAGTAGGTTTTTGCAACATTGAACCATCTTTGCATTCTGGAATAAGTTCTAATTGGTTGTTTTTTTTTTTTTTTACATGCTAAATAATTTAATTTGTTAACATTTTAATTTATAATTTTAATATCCATTATTAGTGAGATTGATTTATAGTTTTTGCTTGTATGTTTGTTTGTTGTTTGTCTTGTACCTCATTTCACCAGTTTTCTATTAAAATGGAATTCGTAACTTAAAAGTTAGCAAGTGTCACTGTTTTGTTGAGAAAGCTGTTTAAGAATAATATTCTAAAAACAAAAGAATGGCCAAAGATTCAACAGGAAAATTTCAATTAAAATTTTGTAATAATGTCCTTTGCTGAATATTCTGTGCCAAAAATTTGATTAAGCATTTTAGTTTTATTATGATATGTAGTCCTCACAAAGCTGTTGTAAGCATTATTACCTTTTACCTTCAGATAGGGTTCCTGAGGCATCAGTTTCCCAAGACAGCAAAACTAGAAAGGGGAAATGCTTGGATTCAAACCTAAGTTGTCTGAATTCAAAGTTCGCGTTTCTCTTAATCCCGTTAACAAATTGCTTGACTAGTACAGATTGAAAAGGGATGTAGCAGCAAGAAAAGAAAGTTAAAAACTAATCAATCAACCACAGTCCAAATGCAGGCTATGCCACTTAGAAACTCTCTGACAGTATACAAATCACTTACCTCTCCCGACCTCAGTTTTTTATCTGTAAAGTGGCCCAGGAATGTCTGCCTTGCAACATTATGTGCAGATTAAGACCAGACTTGCATATCCAAAATATCTTTCTTACAGCAGGGTAGAGAACTGACATGGAGCAGGAAGCCCACTGTCCATTTCAGGAAGAAACACAGGTTGGCAGAATTTAACACGGTTTCCAACAGAGCTTCCAGAGAAAGGATTTGTCTCAATCCCACCCAAATTGTGTGGCAGCAGAAAGTGATTACTGTCTAATAGTTCCTGGGCAGTTTCTGGGGGAAACTATGGGTCTGATCACAGGCCACATCTCTCCCTGACACAGATATTGAGTGAGTACAAGTGTCTCTGCTCCAACTTATTATAATTGTTCTGCTCACCGGGGAATTTGAGTGCCTGAATCCAAGGCTAGCATGAGTATACAGAAAGGTTCATTTTTCTTCGGTTTCCCAACAAGAGTCTAAATTAGGAAGGCCAAGCAGAAGACATAGTGATACAGTTGGGATGCACTGACCTAGAACTCATCCTCTAGTGCGTATTCCAAGACGCCCAACAGGGACAGCCTCTTCTTTACTCACCAAGGCCCAACCATGGCCCTCAGCAGGAATTAAACGCTGGCTCAGGGAGATATGAGATCAGTGGTTCTCATCCAAGGGCTGTGCATTTGAATCACCTAGAGAGTTTTACAGGGAGCATTGCCTGAGCCCATTTCATCCTATATTCTGAATTAATTGTCTTGGATGGGACCCAAGCAAGGATATTGATAGTGTGAATAAATAAAAGCTTTCCAGGTGATTCTAAAATGGAGCAAGAGTTGCAAATTGCTACATTGAAGGAATTAATGAGTAAAATATCCTTCTATTAATAATTATTGAGTGCCTAGTATTTGTCAGGCACTGTTCTAGATCCTTGACACATAGTTGGCACAAATAGGCACAAACAGTATTCATAAAGAGTTGACATTGATAATACCATTACCATACAATTGCAAACTGATCGACAGCTAACATTTGTCATTAGTAATAATATCAATATAATTATGTAGTTAAATATGTCCAGATATCTATGTATACTATAATAAACCATGTATATGTGATTTGTGATATATATGTGTATATAAAATATAGAGCAAAATGTATACATATACACACACATGTAGTTGAATATATACAGTCAGAGTCTCTCATATAGAAAGAGGTGGATAAATACATGGTTGGTTATATAAATATATTCATATGTAGTAGGATGAATATATATGTTTATATAGATGGATACAGTAACATATACATGCATATACAATCATGTACAAATATATACATGTGTGGTATACAGATATATTAAGATAAAACTTGAAAGTCATTATATTAATGCTATTAAGAACAGATTTTGTTTCATTAGTGGAAAAATATAAAATTTAGAAAGTTAAGAAAACTTATAATTTTTGTTTATATTGGAAATATCAGTATAAAGTACTGATTTATTTTCTTCCTTTTAAGACCAAACTTACATCCTGTCTATCCACTGACATTGCTTAGAAGCAATTATAACATTGTCTCAATGAACACTCCCTTTTAACGTGTCTTCCTTTAAAACTTCTCTTTTGTTTTACAAAGAAAAGACGTGAAATATATCCAAAAGAGCAAATTATACCACATGGTTTGAAATCTCAGATGCTCTCCAATATAGGTGCAGATGTAAAGGAGCATCTCTCTCGATGGTGAGATTGTGTGCCTAAGAATTACACCAGTCCTCTTCCCCCGGTTGTAAGCTGATGCCTGGCAGCACACAACTGAAAATCATAACACCACTATATTGAGCACTTCCTATGAGCCCTCACTGTCCCGAGCCCTGAAGGTACACCAATTCTATACTCACACTACCCTTTATGTAGATGTCATTGTGATCTCTGATTCATAGGTGACACAGAGACGAAAGCAATGGCCAGGCCAGGCTTTCCCCTAAGTGATCTGAATCCCATGGCCATGTTATTGGCCACAGCACCACAACACTGTCCTCCCCAGAAAGCCAGAATAACTTCAGTGTTTTAGACAGGGAAAGCTGTGTGTCATTTTTAATAGTTCACTTACTTCCCTCCCTCCTATGTGATTGAAATATAATTGACAAACAAAACTGTATACATTTACAGTGTACAAAGTGATGCTTTGATATATGTATGCATTTTGAAATAATTACCACAATCAAATTAGTTAACACATCCATCACCTCATGTAGTTATCCTTTTCTTTGTTTTGTGGTGAGAACACAAGATCTACTCTTAGCAAATGTCAAGCATACAATAGAGTATTATTAACTATAGTCACCGTGCTGTACAATTATATCCAGAGAATGTACTCATTTTACAAGCACAGGTTTGTACCTTGACCAACATTTCTCCATTTTCCTCACACCCCAGTCCCTGGCAACTACTGTTCTACTCTCTCCTTTCTGAGTTCCACTTTTTTCAGATTCCTCATATAAGTGAGATAATGCAGTATTTGTCTTTCTGTGCCTGGATCATTTCACTTCGTACAATGCCCACTAGGCTCATCTATGATGTTGCAAGTGGCAGGTTTTCTTTTTTATGGATGAATAATATTCCACTGTATATATGCCACATTTTTTATCCCTTTATTGATCAGGAAACACTTAGGTCGCTTCCGTATCTTGGCTGCTATGACTAATGCTGCAATGAACATTGGATTGCAGATATCTCTTTCAGATACTGATTTCATTTCCTTCGGATGTATACAAAGTAGTGGTATTACTGGATTTTATAGTAGTTTCAATTTTTTTAGAAACCTCCATACCGTTTTTTATAATAACTATACTGATTTACATTCCCAACAACAGTGTAAAAGAGTTCTGTTTTCTCTACCTCCTCACCAACACTTATCTCCTTCTTTGTAAGAGCCAGCCTAATGAGTGTGAGGTGACATCTCATGGTGGTTTTGGTTTCTGTTTTCCTGATGATTAGCAGTGTTCAGCATGTTTCTGTGTGCCTGTTGGTCATTTGTATGCCTTCCTTGGAAAAATGTCAATGTAGTCTTTTGCTCATTTTTTGCTCATCGTTTTAAATTGGGTTGTTTCTTTGCTACTGAGTTGTACTTGTTCTTTAAATGTTTGGATATTAACCCCTTACGAGATACTCAGTTTGCAAATATTTTCTTCAATTTTATAGGTTGCCTTGAATTATTTAAATGCTTTTTCTTTTTTGTACAGAAGGTTTTTAGTTTGATACAGTCCCACTTGTTCATTTTTGTCTT